AGCTTCGGCTGCGGGTTATGGCGCCGACATCCTCGACCATGACCGTCGTCTCCGCACGAGCCCGTCCGTGTGCGTCAATGGTAAACCTCACCGACGTCCGGGGCCGATGCAGCTGTGGCTGGGAGGCAGACTCGGGAATGGACGCCAGGCTAGACAGTCGTCGCTGGCTCTTGAGGGGTGATATTCTCCCCGAGCCCGACGATCGTGCCACCGGCTTTCCGGCATCCGCGTTTGCGTTGGCAGTATTCATCCCAGCCTGTGACGTAGGCCGTGAGGCGGGTGCCAACGTCGGCAATGCCCCCCGTCCATTTACCTTCTTTCCTCGGTTATCGCTCACGCTGCGGTTCAGCTCCGGACGACCCATGGCCTTGACGGGAGAGCTCGTAAAGGTACGGTCCGGCATCTTGCCTCTCTTTGGCTCCTTGAGGCTGTTCGTCCGGCGAGGCTGTGCCATGACGCGAGAGCTGTTGCCTTCCGCCGCGGCAACCATGTTGGCGGACGTTGCGTTCATGGCCGGATTGAAGTCGGCGTTCATGGAGGACGTCGGCGGTCGGCTGTATATCAACCCCGGGTCTACGCCTTCCATCGGCGTGGCCATGCCATACGAGTCGTCCATCGGCGCTTGGAACATGGCAGATGCCGTCACGGAAGCCGCGGCGGACTGTCCTGTGACAGGCGGCTTGGGCGCCAGCATCCTCTCCCTTCGAAGAGGCTGGTGCTGCTGCTGCTGCATGTTGGGCGCGTTGGGCTGGACATTCTCTTGGTTCGACGACGGCGGGGGCGGAGGCGGGACGGGATTATCTTGAAAGAGCTGAATGTCGCTGTTCCAGTCGAAGGATCCGGTATGGCGATGTGAGGGCTGGAAAAAGGCGGCGCCGGCGGTGCTGAAATCCAGGTCCATGCCCATAGCCGGGTCCCAGAAGTTGGCTGTGCTCGGGGGGGCAGACAATGGATAGACAAACATGTCGTCGGCGCCGCCCATCATGGCAGCCATGTCGTGGTGGCCCTGGAAGCCGTCGCCAAAGTCCGGGTGGCCGTAGCCGCGGTCATCCTGCATGTTGAGCTTGGGGGCGAGCTTGTGGCCGCCCTTGTGAGCCGACGGGGGCGGCGACAGAGGCTGGGCGGCGTCGGAGCCTTCAATCGTGCCGCGGCGGAGCTTCTTGGGCGACTTGGAGCGCGACGAGGAAAAGGCCGGGCCGAGGTGTGCGTCCGAGTTGGCCGCGGCGGCCTTTGTCGACAGTATCAGGGCGGCGGGCGACGAGGGCAGGCGGCGTGACGGGTCGACGGGCGGCGGCGGGAGGTTTGGGTTCGAGGGCGGGATGTTGGCTCGGGTGGCAATCTCGACGGCCAGCTCTTCGACGGACAGCAGGCGCTTGTGGCCCAGGTACGAGGGCGCAAAGGGCGTGGCGGGCACGAGGTCGGCGAAGGGGAACTGGGCCCCTCGCAGGTTGCCGGGCGTGGCGTTGAAGACGGAGTACTCTTCGGCGAAGCGAGGCGTCAGGCCGCTGGCGTCGGCAAAGGAGCCCTGGGGCGGCTTCGGGGTCTCGAAGACGGGGCTCGGAAAGGCCCCCGACGTGGGCGTCTGCTTGGGCGTGGGCGGCGGGTGAGCGTTTGGGATGTCTCCAAAGCTGCTGCTGTGCGGAGTCAGAGAGACGAGGTTAGCCAGGCTGGCCGAGGGAGCGGAGGGCAGGCATGCTTGAGGAGAGTGCTCGCAAGGCGGACATGCCTTGATACTAGCTGTTGATCCTCGCTCATATCAGCTTGAATTCCTGTTGGCTATGATAACCCAGACACAAGCATCCCGGTGCGTGCACCGCCAATTCGGGCCGTG